ATGCGTTAGGTGCTGGGTTCAATCCCCAGTACCTCCTCTAAAAATAAATAAACCTAATTACCTTCCCCTAAATAAAATAATTAAATAATATAATAAATAAATAAAACATAAAAAAGAAGTATAACCTAAAAGATTCGTTCTAATGCCTACTGAGAAAAGCAGAAGTAGTTTGTTGTAGGAAAATAACATAAAGATTCAGGAATTAAAAGCTTCTTTTTTGAAAACAAACCAACTGAACTTTTTTTTCAAAGTTTCAAGGAAGATAGCTATATTTTAATGAGTTATTGCCATAGGAACATATTGTAAATCAGTTATGGGAATTAGTGTTCCTTTCTGATTTTTAGGTTATTAGTGCCAGTTTTTTTTTTTTAAATACTGTTTTTTGTTATTGATGAGTAAAAATATCAGTACATGTGTTTGGAGGAATGTAACACTACAGCCCAGTAAACTCGTATCTGTCTTTCAATCTGTCTGTTTCTGGCACAGAATGGTGATGCTATTAAAGAATAGGACCATCAGAATTAGTAATAAGGGCAGGGGAGGGTATAGCTCAGTGGTAGAGCACATGCTTAGCATGCACGAGGTCCTGGGTTCGATCTCCTGTACCTCTATTAAAATAAATTCAAAATAGATACATAAGTATATAAATAAATTAATGATTACCCTCTTCAAAAATAAAAAAAATTTAAGAAATTTTTTTTTCAGGGAAAGGTATAAGAATTTTTTTTTAAAAAGAACTAGTAATAAGGATCAGAACCTGGCTAATGTATACTTGGAATTAGTTGACACTTATCCTAAGTATGGGAGCTGAGTCATGGTAATACCAAGGAGAACACAGGTGCTAGCCACACAGCTGGTAAACAGGAGGGAATGAAGAAATATCGTTTGGAAATGGTTTTAGAAATGAAAGGCTTAGCGTCTGCTCAAGTTGGGTCACTGTGTTGCTAGTTGTTCATTATCTTCAGTGATTCCTTCCCCTTCTCTGAGCCTCAGTCTTTCCCATTTATACAGTGAAGGCATTGGGTGTGTAATATCTGAAATCGCTACCGATTCTGATAGTCTTACTGGAATTTGAAATTTTAAAATATTTCCACTTCATGCTTTATGTTATAAACACGTATCAATGTTTTGGGAATTAGGACCTTTAAATTGCTTCATGTTGTCTATTGTCAGCAATCCAGCTGACAAGAGCCCTAAGACCTCTCTCTGTGCATTGAGACCAGCCTCCCCTTCCTCTCCCTATCCCCCTCAGCACAGCCTAACACAAAACTGGAAATGTGTGCGCATTTGGATATCAGTCAAAATCACTCACTTAGAAGTATAGCTAAGGAAATCATGATCAAATCCTGTAGTAATTTGGAAGTTTCTTATTTCAGTTTATTTTTTGACTTCACTTCTGGTTCTAGTCATCTAAATTCTGCAATGGCAAAGACTTTAGGTAAATTTTCTAGCTAATGCTTGGGAAATATTTTCAAAGAATACAGCATTATTTCCCCGCCTTTCTGAAGAAAAAGCTGGCAGGAGCTATTGAGAAGAAAGTAATGATTGGAACTGCAGAGACCAAGAGATACCCCTGGCCAGTCCTATAGTCAGAATGCTGGTTCAGTGGGAAAGTGTTCGTCTTATGAACCTACATTAAATATCTGAAAGAACTATAAGTTGGGGAATGTTTCCTATTGGTTTTGGATTCAGTAAGCTGAAAATACATACCAAGGTCTGTCAGCTACAACATACCTTTGCAAATACTTTAGCTTATTGTAAAGTACCATCATGATTAATGAGACACAACTTTCCCCTGAATGAGCTGGCCCAGTTAAAATGATAGAAAAGAAAGAGGTTCAGGGGTTTGCTGGAGGGGCAGGGGTATTGTGAAGAACATAGTGAACTTAGGTGAGCTGGGAACTCAGTTTAGCTTGATCAGGACTTTCTCTAGTGTGATCAGCCTTAGGAAGACTGACTCATGCTGACTAATGCAGAAGAAATAACATTTAGTTAATAAATGAGATGTCGGTGGTTGCATTTGCACTGGGAGATGGACCATTGCTCCACTGCCATTGGCAGTGGCTAGTCTGTTTTCTACATAAGATTCCATGTATAGTTCATGGAAAACTAAAACAGTAATCACATGTTTTCTTGGAATATGTGTGATTATTCTAGACAGAGGTGAGTGTTTCTAAGGACTGTTTGCTGAGGCGGAGCTAGAATCTGGGTGGTTGCCCTTACCATGCTCCAGTGTCTGAAAGTCCTCATGGCTCTCAGGTAGGGAGTGGACAGCGCCACTTACTTACTCATTTATTTATGAACAGATATTTACTGAGTATAGACTATGTGATGGATAAGGTCCTGGTATCTGGAAATATATTGATGAATAAGATAAACAAAGTTCCTGCCCTTGTAAAGCTTGTATTCTAGGCGGAAGAAGATAAGACAGATAAGAATTGAACCAGATAACTACCATCAGAGCTTTACTCTCCAATTGTGGTTTTGGTATGTTCTTTATCTGTCACAGTAGCCTTTTTTTTGTTGTTTAAGGTAGCAGTTTCCCATGACAATCGTGTAACAAATTCTAAAATGACAGCCCATCTTAAGTTTCTCCTTTATTGGTGAATGCATCTGAAACTGGTCTCTCTATAGTTGATCTTAAATGGCTGAAATTGCTGTGGTATGCACTGACGATATTAATGACAGTAACTTCAATCTGTTTAGTTCCTATTCTAAGCCTAGCATTGTGCTAGGAACTTATATGTAACATCTCACAGGCTCCTTACAATACTGTGTAATCAAGCATTTTTTTTAATAGGCTTTATTTTTTAGATTAGTTTCAGGTTTACAGAAGAATTGAGCAGAAAATACAGAGTTTGCACATAGCCCTCCCCACCCACACATATATACTCCTCTACCCTCCACATCCCTCATCAGTGTGGCATATTTGGTACAATCGATGAACCAACATGGGCACATTATCATCAACCACAGTCCATAGTTTACATTAGGGTTCACTCTTGATGTTGTACATTCTATGGGCTTTGAGAACTGCATAATGACATGTAGCCACCACTATAGTTTCGTACAGAATAATTTCATTGCCCTAAAAATCCCTTGTGCTCCATCTTTTCTTTCCTCCCTCCCTCCCTCCCTCTCCCCAAACCCCTGGAAACTACAGTCTTTTTATTGTTTCTGTAGCTGTGCCTTTTCCAGAATGTCATTTGGTTGGAATTGTACAGTTTGTAGCCTTTTCAGACTGGCTTCTTTCATTTAGTAATATGTCTTTTAAGTTTCTTCCATGTCTTTTATGGCTTGATAGCTCATTTTTTTTTCACTGCACACATATTTTTTAATTTACATATATGTACTGTTCATTGTTTCTAAGAATGTTTAGAGCTTTAGCTTTTTAAACTTTCATAGTTATCAAAAGAATAAAGCCAACCACAAAATAAAAATTAATTCAAAAAGATACATATACCTTGCTATTAACAGCAACATTATTTATCATTGCTAAGATGTGGAAGCATTCTAAGTGCACATCAATAGTTGAAAAGATAAAGAAGATGCAGCATATATTTGTAATGGAATACAACTCACCCATAAGAAAGAAGGATATTTTGCTATTTACAGCCCTTCATTCACTTTTTTTTTCATTTCGAAAACCAGAATTTTATAACTAGCATAAACATTTCCATTACATCAAAACCAACAAAATACTTAGAAATAAACTTAACCAAGGAGGTTACCTACACTCTGAAGACCAGAATGATACAAAGAAATGGAAAAGTTTCTTGTGCTCTTGGATTGGAAGAAGCAACATTATCAAAATGGCCACACTGCCCAGTGCATTCTTATCTATATTTAGATGAAGCAACTGAGGCTCAAAGAGGTTATGTACCTTGTCTAAGCTCCCACAACAAAGTGACAGAACCAGGACTTGCACCCAAGTCAGCCAAGCTCAAAAGTCAGGGTTGTCCCCACTTTATTTCTGTTTATCATTTAGTAGACAATGGCTACAGCTAGCTAATTTTAGCCAACCCTAAGTTAGAGAAATTTTAAGTTTTTCCCTAGTTTCTTTGGGCAGAATCTGTTCAGAACACAGAGATCCTTATGCCGTGAGTCATTCTAGTTGGACCACTTTTCTTGTCAAAATCCCTGAGACAAATTAGGTCTCAGGGATGTAGCCATGTGGTTCAGCTTCCTTTGCCCAAAGTCTAAATATCTTCTAATGGTGACCAGAAGCTCACTAGGAGCAGAAATAAGTAACTTCAACTGTGGGTGGATTGGAGGAAAAGAAAGATTTTCTTATATTGAGCTGAGAATTATCTCCTTAAAATACCAGCATCTTGCCCTGAGTTTATTGGGGCAACTGCCACACCAAGCAATTAAAATATGTTGTCCATAAGAGAGCTCTCTGGATATTTTATGGACAAGTTTATTTTCTCCCAGAATTACTTTCTCTAGTTGCTACAATTCCAGTCTCTTTACGTGTGTCACCTGGTCACTCTCCTCTAGACGGGGCCAGGTGGAACTTAGGATAGCAATGAGACAGAATCCACAGCTTGGCTAGAAGGTAAACATTTCACAAAAAGTGTGCATGTGATTGTGAAGGGTTTCTCGCAATGGTCATGTAGGAAGGATTTTTCTGAGATTATTGGGACACTATTCCAAACATTGCAGTTGAAGATTCTGTCCTTTATGACTCTCACTGCCCGTTTTGTTGGATGCACGTGATAAATGCCTCCTGAAATTCAGTGGCAGGGAAAATGTATTTGCCATGATGAATTGGTATGCTTGTCTCGATAATTAGAGCTTATACATAAGCAGTTGTGGGGACTAGAGTGCAGTGTTAGGTTGTTACCTGCGTGAGGGGGCATCTTGTAGTATTTTATCCTCAGATACAGTCATCACTGGAGTCCTGTGTGATGCTACACCGCACACTGCCTCTTACCACAGGTGTTCCTGACATTCGTGGGGTCCTCTCCATTGGGCAGGGACGGAGGGTGTCATTTCCTTCAGACGTGCCTCAGTTGATCTAGTGTGAGTCTTTGTACCTGCTCACTGAGGATTCACGTTCTCTGCAAGCTGCCTCATCTGACTTTCCCTCCAGCCCCCAGTAGCAGGAAGAGTCAAAGTCCTGACAAGGTAGTTGTGATGATGGCCCCAGAAATAGATGCCTAGCTCTTCCCTAGGTATACTGACTCATAGACTGAAACAGCCTGCAGAGGTCGGCTAGTTTCATATCCTCAAATGTCCTCCCCACCCCCAGTTTTGTGCCCAAGATCACACAACTAGTAAATGTTTGCCAACAGGGATGTGAGTCCAAGAAGTCTGGCTCCAGAATCAGTTCCCTTAACTATACTGTATTGCTTCTTTTATAATACTTTAAAATAATAAAAGAAATGTGAGATCCACACTTTGCTTCCATGAAAAACAAGAAAGAAAGAAAAAGAAAACAATAAACTGTGAATTCAGCTTTATCAGGAGAAGATTCCCATGTGTTTTGATATGTGTTCAGCGGCTCTTTTGGAGATATTTAATACTGAGATGGTTTAAATTTAAAGTAAAATTCTCAGAAGAAAAAGGTAATTTGCATGAGTAAATTTTCCAGATACCAAAGCTTGCTCCTTTTAGTATAAATTCTCTTCTAAAAAAATTAAAAAGGCAAAAAACTTATTTCTTCTTGTTTTTTAAAATGCATTTTCAAGCCTCATTTCGTAGGAGATTTTGAATATATCAACCTTGATTATATTGAGATTTTGAATATATCAACCTTGATTTTTCAGCATCATCATTATTAATAACAATTGTACTGTGCTGTAAAAATACACAGTTCCTCTCAGAGACTTGTTAAAGTATCTGACACTATCTGTCCTTACACCAAATGGCCTTTATTGTAGTGACTTTTGGGGGATCTGATATTTATTAGTTTTTTCATTTACTTTTTCTCCTTAAAATTCTTATTTCTCACCTTTAAAAAATCTCTTTCAATTTTCTTTTTTTCTCCCTGCTTGACCGGAAGTCAGCAAACTTTTCTGTCAACAGCCAGAGAGTAAATATTTTATTTGTGGACCATACAGTCTCTGTCATGGTCAGTCAACTCTGCAGATGTAGCATGCAACAGCCACAGACAACACGCAATGAATAGATATGGCTGTGTTGCAATAAAACTTTATTTAAAAAAATAAGCAATGAGCCAGATTTGGTTTCTGGGCTGTAGTTTACAAACCCCTGAACTAGACTATTGAGTGTGGTGAAATAACTATGTAGAGTTATGGAAGAAAGTAAACAGAATTTTTGTAAAAGTAAATGGAATTTTGTAAAGTAAATAAATGTTGCAGCAGTGTACTCCTACAAATAAAATATACAACATTTTGTGTTACAGTTTAATGACAGTGTTTTTTGCATACTTAGATGTCTTTCCTTCCCCTTCTGTCTCTTGCATTCTTGTTTTCAGGTTTGTGTCTATGTTGCAGATATTTGAGGTTATGGGATAAATGAACTCTAGATGCAGTTGCTTTATGTAAATGTGTGCGTGTGTCTGTTTATGTATCTCAGATATAGAGCTAAAGTCACTGTACCAATTAAGACCTAGATAAGATTGGTTTGATCCCCATTCTACGAATTATGGAGAGTTCAGTATCTCCCATCCACACCGCCAAGTTTATGCAAAATTTCAAGGTGGGGTTAAATTTTTATGGCCACCCTGGCTCCGAATTGAATTCTGCCAAATTAATTCAGTGTAGAGATTGTTTGGCCATCCCTGTTCTAAAAAATTTCTTGGCTATTTCTACCCCTGAGACTCCAGCCACCTACCATGTTTCTCAGCTTTCGACAGTCCCTTACTGATGACCCAGGAATTCTAAGTTCTTCTTACTTTGTTATGCAGATTAACTCCGCTTTCTTCACCCTCACTCCCAAACTCCTCTCTGCCCCCTCAGTACATTTCTAATCCACCAAGGTGCTCTGACCAATACAAAGGACATTTTCTCCTTTAGTTGAAACATCCCCCTAAGTAGGGAATTAAAATTTTATATAGAATGTTTTCCTTTATGGATGTTTAAATGAATGATTGATAGATGGGTGGGTGGGTGGGTGAATGGCTAGACAGGTGTTATTCAGTACTGTAAAATTTGGACCAGTAGTCCATGTGAGGGAAACAGAGCAGGACCCTGTGGGGCTCCCCCAGCTACAAATCCTTTCCATGTCCTCTTTCTTGTTTGTAGGAAATAGGCTTCATTCAGCCTACTTGAACTTCCTTTAGTTCCAAAGGGCAGATTCAGATAGTTGCTAATCAGGGAAGTGAGGAAATGCAGAAACAAAGGAGGACCAGTCAAGAAACAATAGTGCATTCTTGGGGCAGGGTCCTGCCTCCTCCTCAAGGGATGTATTTAACAATATCTGTGAGGTCTTCTGCAGGAACTAAGGCCCCCATCCAGGTGGAGGATGGTAAGTTCAGGCTGAACACAACATTCCTGGAGCATCACCCTGTCACCTCACCACCAGCCAATTAGAAGAAAGTCACACACTCTGCAACCCTCACTCCAAATTTTGCCTATGAAAAACTTCTCCCTGAAAACCATTGGAGGATTCAGGTTTTTTGAGCAAGAGCCCCTCATTCTCCTTGCTTGGTCCTACCACAAACCTTCCTCTGCTTTGAACTCCGATGTTTCGGTTTTTTTGGCCTCACAGTGCGTGGGGCACGTGAATTTGCATTCAGTAACATGAGGAATAATACCAAATGTGGAAAACCCATATTTGGTTTATTAATCTTGTGATCTAGGAATTATTTAGGGTTGCTCTTCAACCGTTGTAGCCAAAATACATCCAATATGCTCTTTCTATTGTTATTCACATTATAGGAAACTTCTTATTCATTTCTTGTTTGTTTGCTTTTTAAATATCCTAATAATTATTTTGTTATACAAGGAGTCAAAATATCATGTCATATGACCATCAGTTAAATTATAGAAATAGAATAGAAGATCATAAACAGCATAAGGTAAAAGTTAGGCTGAGACTCAAAGGAACCACACTGTGTCCCCTCAAACTTAAAATAATAGGCTGCTGTTTCTATTTGGAGATGTGTTCTCTAATCTCCAATATGAGAAAAGTAGTCCTATTTAATTTTATTTAATATAAGAACGATTTACTCTTACGCATAATCATTATTATTTAGTCATACATTAATATATTCAGCAAATCTGAAATTTTCTGCAAAGAATATAAAATAAAAGGATACATTTCTGATTCACTAAAGAGTTTAAAACCTGCTCTGGAAATAATCCAAATACAGTTAAATAATTAGAAAAGAATAAAGAGTACGATATGTGAGAAAGTTAATTTTTTAACTGGAACTTTCTGAGCACTGTGCTAACCTAAAATTGGTTTCTTTGAAGTCTACTCAGAGTGTTGACCTGGGGTGAAAAGTAGTAACTAAACTGCTTCTGATTTTTCTTAGCCTTGCTAGAAAGTGTTCGACTAGTTAAAATAAACAAGCAAAGAAAGAACAATCACTTTGCAAAGGTCCACATTTATAAAGAAGAATGGAGCTATGACAGTATTTTGGCTTTTGCTTTGTCAATATTTTTGTTCTGGGTAAGCTTGCTTCGTTCAATTTATTTATCCTTTTGAGGAAAATACACTGCAGGAATCACAGTATGCAAAGGCAAAGCAGACACAGGACTGTTTCTTAAGGAATTTCTAGCCTAGAGGAAGAAATAAACATGCAAACAAAGGAAGGATGGTGCTTCTGACTTCAGGCTCCGTGGAAGAGTTGACATTTGGACTGGCCCTTTATGGAACTGAATAAACTGAAAGAGATGCAGAGGACCTCTTTGGCTAAGGAAAGAAAATTAATAAAGGCTCAAAAGTTCAAAGGTCTATGTCCACGTAAAGCATATAGAGGCTCACAATCCATTACCTATAGTTTCTAAATCTAAGGAGCTCGGAAGATCATTATTTTTTCCTTCAGTTTGCAGCAAACGTATTTGGTGGCACAACCTGACCTGAATTGACATGAGGCTATTTATAGTCTTTATCCCACTTCTGAGAATATTTGTAGATTTTGCTGCAGTAATATAATCAATGTTTTTTATTCTAGGTGCTGCTTCAACAAACAGAAATTTTGCTAATATTTTATACATTAATTGTATTACTTTTTAAAAATACCACATTTTGCCCCCAAATCTGAATTATGATACACACCTAGCCGCAGATATTTTATTTGTGGGATTGTGGACCTGAAGTAATTATGAGTGATGGGATATTATAGAAACTATGATCAGAAAGCTAGATGAAGATTGTGCTGGTTCTTGACTGCCAAGCTAAAGAAGTTGGAAATTCTGCTTTGGGCTGTAAAGAAACCATTAAAAGCTTTTGAAGCAGGGAGTGAAATATTCAACAGTGTTTTATCAAAAGGACTTTGTATTCCTGAGCACATACCGTTTTAAATTTCTTTCCCCAAACAACTGCAAAAGTGGGGATATTTTCCTTTGAGTAAGATAATGATGTCAGATGAAATGCCTGTTGAAAAGAGATATTTCTATCTATCATTTATTTCCTTATAAAGATGTGTGGGAGAAAGAGGGTTAGAGAAAGCAATTTCAGATTGTGCTTGTAGCTTGCTAAGTGTCATGCCACGTAAATATGACCAGGCTTTGATGTCCCCAAACAACTTTGCTTTGAAAATGCAAACACTGCTTCCTGAAAGAAAAAAGAAATAAATAGGCAAAACCCACAAGAAACAGTAAATTCTTTATTTTTGCTTTTATTCTCTTCAAAATAATTTGATTCTAATTAGTTTAAGAAAATTAATTGGAAAATTAAAGGTAGATGCGTGTGTATGTGTGAGTGTGTCATTCACAGTAAGTCCTTGAGGACTGCTGTTTCACATGTGTGAGTCTTTGCTCATGCTGTTCCCCTTGCTTGAATATCCTATCTTCTTTCTTCTCCCAGTGAACACGTCCATCCTTCAGAAATTGAGTCCAGTGTCACCTCCACCAAGAACCTTTCCCTGTCATGGTTAGCTGTCCCTCTTTGGGGTTCTCCAATGCATATTTCTTAGCATGAAACGAATTCACAGAGTTATCTCTGATTTGTGTTATTTACTGCCCTTATGTCTGATAGCATTACAAGAGAACCAAAGTACTATTGAAAATTCAGTCAAATAATCATACAGTTGTAACTGTGATGGGTGCAAAAAAGGAGAGACGCACAAAGTGCTATAGTGTCTAAAGTAGAGGGTGGAGGTTAATCGAGTTAGAGGAATCAGGAAAAGCTAAGGCACTTATCACATCATGCCTTTTATCACAATTAGTTGGGCATATGTTTTATATACATTTCCTCACCTCAGACACACACATTCCCAATAAATAAATCCAAAATTTATTCCTTTTCATGGTAATTCTGAGGCTTATTCATCATGAAATACCACTACTGCCACTGGAAATGCAGCAAAAATTTGGGAATTAGAGAACTGACTCTGGAAGTTACCCATCTCAGTGTTTTTCTTAGAATATCTGAATAGTTAGCTGGTCTCTCATTTTCCCCAAGCTTGTAATCATTGATCCTGGAACCCCAGGAATAAAATTACATGTTATTTTCATTTTTAAAAATGCCATTTGAGGGGCTAGAAGCACAGGCAGGCGTATGTAATGAAGCTGTGAATCGGTACACTTTTCAAAACGAGAGTTTGGGAGCTGCCGTAGGGATATTACTAAAGCCACTTCCTAGAAGTGGTATTTCAATCTCTAGAAGTCTGTGCAGGGAATCAGGAAATTCCAACCAACTCATAGCTTATGCTTTTCCAGAAAATTTCTACATTTGACTTCAGAAGAACTGTGAATAATAATAGCATGTTTACAGGCATTTTATGTCTCTCACCAGAGTCTAAGGATGAAGCACCGAGACCATGAAAGAACTATTTTTTGATGCTGTTAACCTCAGGAATACTTGACATTTTTATAAGTTTTTTAAATATTGCTTACAAAAAAAAAGATCTTTTAAAACAAGTCATATTTATTTCTGATTTTAACAGTATTCACCTTTAATTGTAGGAAATTTAAAAATACGAAAATGCAGGAGTAGCAATCGCTGGTAATGCTTTCTGTTGAGGGTCTTGGTGTTCTGCAGGCCCCGGCCCCCTGCTTTACATACGTTATCTCAGTTAAACCTCGCCCTGTGATGCAGTGCCGCTCCCATTTTATGTAAATAGAAACTGACGGTAGACTGATGTAGACAAGTGACTTGCACAAGCTCCTCAGACGGGAAGTGGTAAAGCAGGAGTAAACCTGGGAAGTTCAATTCCAGAATTCATGCTCTGAACAGCTGTACGCTATTCCTTCTCTTAGGCGCCAGTAACCACCACAATAACCACTGGGAAACAGCCACTGTTACATTTTTGTGTGTGTGCTTTTAAGACGTTTCCTTCAAGTGTATATATTTTTAAAACATAATTGAATTCCTAGTGCAGGCTGTTTTTTCACCGTCAATGTAGTTGAACCGATTAACTAATCCTTGATCTTGGTGCTTGCTAATCATTCCAGAATGTAGCCCTAATGCTGACTGTCTAGATAATACCTTGGATTAATAATAACTAATAAAAGGATTTGAAAATGAACGTATGTATGTATAGGGTTGACTGGGACATTCTGCTGTACACCAGAGACTGACATATGATAACTGACTATACTTCAATTAAAAGAAAAAAACCTCCAAGTAAAAAACAAACAAAAAAACACTCTCGGAATAAGCGGGCATCATGCTAACACCTCCTCTGAAGCAGAAGCTACTTATATACCTCAGCTCGAGGTGCGAGTGATGGCATCAGGCATGTGGTAGAAAATGGAAGAGGGGCTGATTTTCCAAATTTTATCTTCATTTTCTTTTCTTTCCAAATATAAGGATCTAAAACATTGCTAATAACCTTAAAGTTTTAGCATCCATCTCTAAGAAATAAATTTGCATTTGTATTTACATATTATACATTTTAAATACAGGGATGGCCAGGAAGTGGTTTATACCGTGTCCTGGTTTAAAATGAATTAATAAATAAAGGCTCTCTTAAAAATGTACTAGTCCTTGTTAATCAATCGAAGATCTTGGGGAAAAAGAGACAAGAAACCTTACTTGTGGGGAGTCTGTAAGTGCTAAACCCTGCAGTAAATATTTCCTTTTCTATTTTTCCCCCATACTTTGTTGCCGCAGCTCTGTAAAGCAGGTCATTAGGCTCACTTTACAAATGAGAAAAATGAAGCTCAGAGAAGTTAAAAAATTTGTCCTTGAACACACAGTTGGTAACACTGGTATTTGAATTCAGGAACATACAGCTCTGAAGTCCCAGTCGCTTCCTATGATGCCACCTTAGAGTTTGGCAACTATAATCTGTAGGACCTAGAGTGGACTTCCATCCAAATGGGAAAGGAGACTAAAGTAGAAGAGAAAAAGGAAAAGAAAATCACCACTTAATTAATTTTTTAGCTATACACCATCTTGCTGAGGCCCAATTATTTTCCTTGCAGAATTTCAAAAAATGGAGATATAATTCAGATAGTATAAAATTCAACCTTTTAAAGTGTCCAGTTGAGTGGGTTTTGTATATTCACAAGGCTGTGCAACTGTCATCACTATCTGATTCCAGAATATTTATCTCAGCCCCCAAAGAGATATTATATCCATTAGCAGTCACTTCTTATAGTTTTGATGTAGCAAAAATCCTCAAAAGCTTTCTTCTAAAACTCGAATTTTCTAAGATTCTTCCCTTAAAGAAGAAAATTTATTTATATACATGTAGGAGAGAAGTTG